AACACCAATCCCCGCCATTCGCCACTAAGTGACGGTGATGTCACCACGGCGCCTGTGCCAGGCTAGGTGCAGGTCTCGGGACAGACCCAGCAGGTGCCATGGGTTGACTGAGATGACCGGTAGATGCACCACCAGCTGGGCCCCCTACTGTGCCAGGCTAGGTGCAGGTCTCGGGACAGACCCAGCAGGTGCCATGGGTTGACTGAGATGACCGGTAGATGCACCACCAGCTGGGCCCCCTACTGTGCCAGGCTAGGTGCAGGTCTCGGGACAGACCCAGCAGGTGCCATGGGTTGACTGAGATGACCGGTAGATGCACCACCAGCTGGGCCCCCTACTGTGCCAGGCTAGGTGCAGGTCTCGGGACAGACCCAGCAGGTGCCATGGGTTGACTGAGATGACCGGTAGATGCACCACCAGCTGGGCCCCCTACTATGCCAACTTGCTGCATTTGAGTCGCCCGGCGGTGGTAGAAGCGGCACGGCAGAAACATTAAAATAAAACCTTTCATGGCCAAAGACACCCCCATCGGTTAACGCCACGCCCAATTTACTTCCTTATATGGGGGGCAAAGCTGTGATGGGTGATTTGGTCGGGTGTACAATTTCATTGTATTACAGCGCCCCTCCACAACAGATCCTCCACTCCGCTCCTCCCCTTCGCAATCATCCGGATCATTACCCACCTCGGTGTCAAGCCACGGCAGCTGCTGCTCTGCATCGACATAATCTCCCCCCCCTCCGTGTTACCAACGTGGTGGTGTCCACAACACGGAGGTTTGGAGTTTGTGTGTGGAGTGTGTGTGTGGAGTGTGTGTGTGTGGAGTTTGTGTGTGGAGTGTGTGTGTGTGGAGTTTGTGTGTGGAGTGTGTATGGCCAGTATTAGTGACGATTATCTGAATCGGTGATGGGCCTTCCCTAGGTCGACTCAGCCTCAAACAAGAACCTGGTGCGATGTGTAAACATCGCCACTGGGGAGACAAAGGCGGTCGGGCGAAGTGCTGGCCACCCACCCCCTCGTGTGTGCCTTGCCAGCTTTCATAGGTGCTCGCTAACAGCACTTGCCCCAAAAGTCTGTCCAGACTATACGGGGGATCTTTGTCTTTGCGTGTGTGTGGTGTTGCGTGTTCTCCCCCTGTTCCGCATGGGGTTTCCTCCGGGTTCTTCGGCTTCTTCCCGTGGCTAAACACGCACGCACGCAGCGTGTAACTGGGATTGACCCAAACAACATGCCGCGTGCCGAACGATTACCTGCAAATGATTGAACACGGGATCACACGGACCGCAGAAACACCGCCCACGACTGCGAAAACTTGGCAGTAGCCGCCTGAATTCAGATTTACAAACACAGACACAATTTCAACCGAGAAGATGGTTTCAAATTAAGCAATCATTGGAAAGATTTTCTAAATCATACCAAACATTAAACTAATTTCCAGTGGTACAGTATATTTATCCAAGTAGTGATATACCAAACTTTGACAGCAGCTTATTTCCCTTCAAAACAACGTTTGTAAACTCCCCTCCCCGTGCCGGTCCGTCACGTTGCTGCACGGTCATTTCCTCTCACACCATCATTTGTACATTTGTAAACTCCCCTCTCCTCACCGTGTTGTTACTCTATGAGCGTTTTATGCAAATTCCTTTGTCAAAGCGTTTTGTTTCCTCCCACACAGCTTAAAGGACGCGAACTGGCTTGACTTTCTTCATTCCAACGCTGTCCTCGTGACAGTACGGTCCCTTCACCTGATGAAGGCCACTTGTGTTGTGGCCGAAACGTCGTGATTTTTGTTGTTTTATTTTTTTACTTACGTGACTTTACCGAATAGAACCAAAGAGTATAACAATAAGAGTTGTAACGCGTCGCTGCACGGCATTCTCTGATAGCGACGCAGAGGTGCGAGGAGGAACCACAAACAGGCGGAAAGGCAGCAGCCAGGCGATTGCCCAAGCTCTGCCGTCTTCTTGATATGAAGATGTTTTCAGCTAATTGACGAGCGCTTATACACGTGGGAAGAACCCGGAGTTATGATTGTTGGAGGTAACCGACGCTTGCGAGAGGTCAGCGCTCTTCAGGTGGAGATGAGTTTGCCTTAGCGCCGTCTCCTGGTGAGCCATGGTTATGGCTCCTCCTGAACGCTGACGGCATTGAGAGCTTCACAGCACGCGTGGTGCGCTCCACCACCACGCACTGCTGGCTGACAGAGACACGCGTGGTGTGCTCCACCATCACGCACTGCTGGCTGACAGAGACACGTGGTGCGCTCCACCAACACAACACGCACTGCTGGCTGACAGAGACACGTGGTGGGCTCCACCAACACATCACGCACTGCTGACTGATAGAGACACGTGGTGCGCTCCACCATCACGCACTGCTGGCTGACAGAGACACGTGGTGCGCTCCACCAACACAACACGCACTGCTGACTGACAGAGACACGTGGTGCGCTCCACCACCACGCACTGCTGGCTGACAGAGACGCGTGGTGAGCTCCACCACCACGCACTGCTGGCTAACAGAGACACGTGGTGCGCTCCACCACCACAACACGCACTGCTGGCTGACAGAGACACGTGGTGGGCTCCACCAACACATCACGCACTGCTGACTGATAGAGACACGTGGTGCGCTCCACCATCACGCACTGCTGGCTGACAGAGACACGTGGTGCGCTCCACCAACACAACACGCACTGCTGACTGACAGAGACACGTGGTGCGCTCCACCACCACGCACTGCTGGCTGACAGAGACGCGGGTGCGCTCCACCACCACGCACTGCTGACTGACAGAGACACGCGTGGTGCGCTCCACCATAACGGACTGCTGACTGACAGAGACACGTGGTACGCTCCACCATCACGCACTGCTGGCTGACAGAGACGCGTGGTGCGCTCCACCACCACGCACTGCTGGCTGACAGAGACACGCGTGGTGCGCTCCACCACCACGCACTGCTGGCTGACAGAGACACGTGGTACGCTCCACCATCACGCACTGCTGGCTGACAGAGACGCGTGGTGTGCTCCACCACCACGCACTGCTGGCTGACAGAGACACGTGGTGCGCTCCACCATCACGCACTGCTGGCTGACAGAGACACGTGGTGCGCTCCACCATCACGCACTGCTGGCTGACAGAGACACGTGGTGCGCTCCACCACCACACACTGCTGGCTGACAGAGACGCGTGGTGCGCTCCACCACCACGCACTGCTGGCTGACAGAGATACGTGGTGCGCTCCACCATCACGCACTGCTGGCTGACAGAGACACGTGGTGCGCGCCACCATCACGCACTTCTGACTGACAGGGAGACGTGGTGCGCTCCACCATCATGCACTGTTGGCTGACAGAGACACGTGGTGCGCTCCACCATCACGCACTGCTGGCTGACAGAGACACGTGGTGCACTCCACCATCACGCACTGCTGGCTGACAGAGACACGTGGTGCGCTCCACCACCACACACTGCTGGCTGACAGAGACACGTGGTGCGCTCCACCACCACGCACTGCTGGCTGACAGAGACACGTGGTGCGCTCCACCACCACGCACTGCTGACTGACAGAGACACGTGGTGCGCTCCACCATCACGCACTGCTCGCTGACAGAGACACGTGGTGCGCTCCACCACCACGCACTGCTGACTGACAGAGACACGCGTGGTACGCTCCACCATCACGTACTGCTGACTGACAGAGACACGCGTGGTACGCTCCACCATCACGCACTGCTGGCTGACAGAGACGCGTGGTGCGCTCCACCACCACGCACTGCTGGCTGACAGAGACACGTGGTGCGCTCCACCACCACGCACTGCTGATTGACAGAGACACGTGGTGCGCTCCACCATCACGCACTGCTGACTGACAGAGACACGCGTGGTGCGCTCCACCACCACGCACTGCTGGCTGACAGAGACACGTGGTGCGCTCCACCACCACGCACTGCTGACTGACAGAGACACGTGGTGCGCTCCACCATCACGCACTGCTCGCTGACAGAGACGCGTGGTGCGCTCCACCACCACGCACTGCTGACTGACAGAGACACGCGTGGTACGCTCCACCATCACGCACTGCTGACTGACAGAGACACGCGTGGTACGCTCCACCATCACGCACTGCTGGCTGACAGAGACGCGTGGTGCGCTCCACCACCACGCACTGCTGGCTGACAGAGACACGTGGTGCGCTCCACCACCACGCACTGCTGACTGACAGAGACACGTGGTGCGCTCCACCATCACGCACTGCTGACTGACAGAGACACGCGTGGTGCGCTCCACCATCACGCACTGCTGGCTGACAGAGAAAACGTGGTGCGCGCCACCATCACGCACTGCTGACTGACAGGGACACGTGGTACGCTCCACCACCACGCACTGCTGGCTGACAGAGACATGTGGTGCGCTCCACCACCACGCACTGCTGGCTGACAGAGACACGTGGTGCGCTCCACCACCACGCACTGCTGGCTGATAGGGACGCGCGCCGCTGCTGCCTTACGCATGAGCAGACAATTCGCCTCCTCCACAAATCCGTCGATCCACGTCATACATCGAGGCACACTTGACACATCCCCTCAGCCACACGGCCTTCTGGGAGTGAAAATCTCATCAGCATTGCTTCAATACAAGCACAACTTTGGCCCGGTTTTGACATTCGGTGTCTGATCAGCAGGCAGGCTTGCTTGAATCAATTCTGGTGAACGGACATATTTGTCACGCTTCAGAAATGTTTCAAATAAATAAAGATGGCAAAAGGTGTAATGCCACGAAAATGTGGATGTTACTTTTCACTGGAACATTTTATTCCACGAGCGATGCAATGTTACGTAAAAATGCCGTCTTGTCTAGGGTTACATAATCTCCTGACAAACACACACGCCAAATGATTCCTTCAAAAGTAATCACCCGTGAGTACCTTTGAAAGCTTCGTCTTGCTGACATCACTATTTTTTTTAAAGTTTACACCCATTTTTTGCCACGCATATAGATATATGCCCCAACTGTGCTTGTAAGATTCCATCAGACTGCTGCTGCGCGCGTGTGTGGTTCTTGTTTGGCACATGCCTCGTAAGGTTTCATAAGGAGAATATTTTGACAACGATGCGTTACAGGTCGATCGAAAAGATCTTTGCCTTAATTGTGCTGCTTTCGAGTGGCGTGTACATTTACAATGTAAGGGTGATGAGCAGACGCTGCAATGCAGGAATTCTCAGGTACGTGAGATGTTCTCGGTTTTATTCAAACGCTGCCATCCAAGAGATGCAGTCATCCGCTCCCTTATGTTGATCGATAATTAATACTGACATTGTGAATTCTAGTCCTTAAATTATAATCGTAGGTCTTTGAAATACATAACTCTTTTTTCCCTGTATTAAAAAAAAATCAATATATGTTATTCTGATCTTAGTGGAATTTAGATAGCACCTTAATCAATACGCTTTGCAGATAATTAACAGCGATACAACATATTGCTGTAATAATCTTGATTTGAAGCTTTCGTGACTGTAGGAATCCATACTCTTTGGTTCTTTCGGTAGAGTCACGTAGGTATAAAATAAAATAAATCACGACGTTTCGATCGCAACACAAGCGTCCGTCATCAGGTGGAACAGTCACAACAGCAGAACTGCTGACCAGCACTTCTGCTGTTGTGACTACCGAAAGAACCAAAGAGTATAGTGGATTACTGTAATGGTGGATATGAGAGGAATAGAATCAATGAGAGGAAGCAATGGGGTCGAATCTGTGATGCGTGAATTCGGTACAAGACTAAAATTGATGACGGTAAATGATGATAAATGTATTGAATAACGTGCTGTCGTGAAGACTGTAGAGTCACAGCTGTTGAGTCATTGCTCTCGTGTCCACGTGTACGTCGTGGTGATGGTTTGAGCACTGCACTGGCGCGGTTTGTACAATCACACAAAGTATTCACACTAATGTTTTGCATGCGGTGCTGTATATGGACACCAGCCGCATTTGCACTGTTTGAGCGGGTTTTTGTGTGCAGTTTGTGTAATTTTTGTAAAATCCCAAATCAGTCAGAAGTCGACTTATGCCACTGGTAGGAGGCGTAGCTTTGGTCGCGCGCTGTGTAAATGAACTCGCGAGCCATAAACTCGCTTTTTCTTTCTGCCTTTAAGGACGAATCGTCTCAAGGAATGTAGAGCTTCAACCGGCGACAATAATTGCTCACGAAGTTGCTGACATTGCTGTGGGGCTGAACTCCGAAACATTCGTAGAATCAATATTTGTGATGCGGTCAAATAAAAGCAGTAATAATAATGAACAACAGCTGGAGGAAATGAGTGGAAGTTGTCGCGTAATTGACTCTTGCCGTACGGGACAAAAGTGGTTTCTGCATTCGCAAAGTTTTAAAGGTGTCCGTTAAGTAGCTATGAAAGTCCATATCCTTTATTTAGTAACGTATTCTGCCCGTCATCATTTAAACTTATACATTATCTCTCCACTGCTGGATAGATATTCACTTTATAATGTGGTAGAAGCAATGTTCTGCAAGGAGTGGAATTTACACCCTCGAGTTGCGGGCTGCGTTCATTGCTGCACGTCCACTGCGCATCATCTCAAGCTGTCGTTTGTCTTATTATGATTTATTTAAATTCCACAAAGGTAAGCCTTTTGGGTGTGTGCCTTTGCGCAACTTTGCATTCAGGGGCCCATGGTTAGCCAAAGGAACGCATTGGCATTGTTGTTTCCTTGGCATTGCTGCTGCATTGGCATTGTTGTTTCATTGGCACTCGTGCACCGCATGTGCTCCAGGTGTTGTTGATACACTTGGGCTACGCCCATCGCCAAACCCTGATAAAGAGTTTTGCCTTTAGGGGCTGACTCCTTTGTCTGATGACGACCGCTTGTGTTGCGATCGAAACGTCGTGATTTGTTTTATTTTATTTTATTTCTACCTACGTGACTTTACCGAAAGAACCAAAGAGTATGGATTCCTGCAGTCACGAATGCTTCAAATAAAAAAGGAACGCTCTTTAAGAAACTTGTCATTCCCTCTGCTGTGAACAAAGACCATTGTCCAGAAGCGTCACCTATGTAACATATAAATGTATATATGTATACCGATTTCCTTTGAACCGGGCAGTGGTGGCTTTTGCTGCACGTGCTTTGTACTCTAGCGCTGTGGAGGCAGCTGCAAGGGTTGGTGGATCACACACATCCTTCGAAACTCCCGTCTCATGTGGATCGAGAAGGAGCCGTACCCTGGCTCGCCAGGAGAATGCGGAAGGAGCAAAAATATTGACTCTACATGTTCCGTCTGTCTGGGATACAGTGTTTCCCCCTCGCACACGTGTGTTTTACCTGGGTGCTCCATTTCCCCCTGCTGCAGAGCTTGTACATTTGGCATAGGCTCATCGCACCTCTATATATTTCTGCTTGTTTGTTTTTCCTTGTGCCTCCGAGTCGTTGTCTGCTTTTGAGAGTGAGCGAATACGCTATGATGGAAAGTAGTTACAAGTTGGAATTATCATTCCACCTAATAATCTGGCCAAATTTGCGTAGTTCAGACCCTCCACGATCCGACGCACAGGTAAGCTGAAAAGGTTCCCATAACCAAACTTAGCACTTTAGCTCAACCCAAAAATCGATAATGAATGACATCACAGGCTGCAAAATCCAACACGTTCATTAAATAATGAAATGTTTAAGTATTTTGAGCATGAACCCATTATTCTAATTTAACCCATTCAAATGTACCCTTTTAACCATTTTGGTGACCTGGGTAACTCGTATAAATGACACTCATCCTGGTCTCTTGAGGTCTCAGGCAGTTAGACAAAATAATAGAATTGGAAACTTCAAGCCGGTTCTGTTTGTGGGCCCAGATGGTGTGAGCATGAGATCCCAACTCCCCGTTGAGGCTGGACGCAAGTACATTCTGAAACAGAGTTGGCCAAACGTCCCAATGTAAGATCACAGAGCTTGGGCAATTGTTGGCGCCGGTTTTGGCTGCCTTTCAGCTTTGCCTGTGGCTTCCCCCTGTGACTCCGTGAAAAGAAAATTTTCCACGTTACAAAACCCTTCAGCGTTTTTGAGATGCAAGTCACGCGAACGACACAACAAACATAAAAAAACCACAGGTAACCATTGGGAGGGGTATTCTGAGATCATGGCACCAGACCGTGTACCGTAATCGTTACTTTGAAGGCTTTATTTTATATGAAACGTTTGTCAATGTCATCGTCAGACAGGTTCGTTTCAGCCTGGAAGTTGTGGGGTTGCGCAACGCTCCGTCGAGTAGAGACGCGTCTGGCCGCTGGAGGCACAGATAACCCCGTCTCTTCTCATTGTCGCCTTGCAGGTGCAATTTCGCGCTGTGGCTGAAGGAGAAGACCCTCTTCTACGAACGGATCCAGCGAAGCCACGCGGACGTGATGTCGCTCGACGCCACCGTGGCGACGGCGGCGGGGACGACGGCAGGGACGACAAGGGCCGGGACGACGGCAGGGACGACGAGGGCCGGGACGACGAGGGCCGGGACGACGGCGAGGGCGGCAGGAACGAGGGCGAGGGCGGCAGGGATGAGGGCCGGCGGCTCCCTGCCCTGGGATCCCGACCTCAGGGAGGACGAGAAGCTGGCGGCGAAGGAGTGGCTGCTGGCGAGGAAAAAATACAACATCAGCTTCGACAAGGATGACGATTACTTTCGTGAGAGCAACGCGCTAGCGGACGTGAGTCTGAAAGGCTTCGCCTTGACGCGTGGCTTGGCGTGGCCGGGGTTGGGGGGGCCCGCGGGTCCCCACCCCGTGTCCTGTAGAACGCACGCTGGGTGGGGGTGGTGATTATCTTCGATCGTGAATGTCAGGCACAACTTAAAAGTCGGGCAATATAAAAGTTTCCACGCGTGATTGCGGTTCTTGGGTTTTCCGTCCGTGCCTAGACGAGACACGTGTAGTGCGTTAAATTCAGGCGCACACTGGACTTTTGAGGCAACACTATTTATTAGCTAACACAACAGGTAACACTTAACATAACGACTTAAGGTGGTAGCCACCGTTCCGAACTTAGCTAACCCACGTGGGTTACTACATCACTGGACCAGGACAGCCCAACACGCTGCCTGGTCCACTAGCGGAGACCGGAGAGCTTCATCCCAGAGATGACCCAGCAGAACAGCACAGCTCCCCGTCCACACACCGCTTATAACTACTCCGGCGTGGCTGGCTCCGCCCCAGGCCACGCCCCCTTCCCGATCCTTCGGGAAGGCCCGAGCCCCCAACCACGTGACCCCCCTGGGGCCCCTGGCCCCCCTTTATCCGGTCACGTGTCCTGTTGGGTTCACGCAGAGTGTCACGGCCTGACACGACCTCCGTGACACCCGTATACAGCCCCCATACCGAGCCAACACAGTAGTGTCGTTCTACTACACAACACACGCACGCGCCTCGACTCATTTGAAATAGCGGGATTGTTGTGACGAGCAATTTACATTCACATCATCGTCATCGTCAGTCATTGCCTATCCACTGCTGGTTGAAGGCCTCCCCCACATGCTGTCGCCATCACTGTCCGCTCCTGCTCGATCACGGTGCATTCTCACTTTTGCACAAGGACTGATGGAATTTGCTAAAAAATAAACCACTAATCTATTTTTTTTATTTTACCAGGTAAGGCCCACTGAGCTCTGTAGCTATTTTTCAAAGCGACCTACTGGTAATCACAAATGATAGCTGAACGAAGTGGCTTATCGTGTGGAAATGTATAACAGTAGCCAAATATAGGGTGCTTCAAAAATGTTTTAACACTTATACGGGACTATCGTTTTTAATGGAAAAAGAACGGATAATACACCGTAACATTATCACAAATGTATGTCCAAAGCTTCAAAAAGTCAAAGAGTCTCCACTTGTTCGCCATCGTTGTGATCACGTGGCCTGGAATCTTCTCCAGGTGGTCTCCAGAGCCCGGAGGCAGCAGCACATGTCACGTGGTGTTGTTGCAAATTATCGGAAGTGTTCACATTTTTTGAAGCACTCTGTATGGTATCGGCAGCCAAGTAAATCGCTGTCGACGGTGGTCTTCTTGACAGGGAAATTAGCTCCTTTTCCATCCTCAGATTTGTAGCCTGGTAACAAAACATCGCGAATAGCTGTAAACTACTCTCAAACAAGTAGCCAAAGTAATGAGTTGTGTCGGTGCGTACATCTACAGCTTGCTGTGTAGTGGTTATTGCACTGCACTGCATACCCGGCAAGTTTGAATCCTGCTCACGGTCAACACCAGTGACAATTATAGGAACCGGTCCTGTGCCTCCGCTAGGTCAACCCAGCCTTAAATGAGTACCTGGTGCAGTGTGGAAGTAAACATCGCCACGAGAGAGATGAAAGCGGCCGGGCGTGGGGCTTGCCCCGCCACCCCATCGTGTGCCCTGCCGGCCTCTATACAGTGAGGGAAAAAAAGTATTTGATCCCCTGCTGATTTTGTATATTTGCCCACTGACGAAGAAATGATCAGGCTATAATTTTAATGGTAGGTTTATTTGAACAGTGAGAGACAGAATAACAACAGAAAATCCAGAAAAACGCTTGTCAAAAATGTTATAAATTGATTTGCATTTTAATGAGGGAAATAAGTATTTGACCCCTCTGCAAAACATGACTTAGTACTTGGTGGCAAAACCCTTGTTGGCAATCACAGAGGTCAGACGTTTCTTGTAGTTGGCCACCAGGTTTGCACACATCTAAGGAGGGATTTTGTCCCACTCCTCTTTGCAGATCTTCTCCAAGTCATTAAGGTTTCGAGGCTGACGTTTGGCAACTCGAACCTTCAGCTCCCTCCACAGATTGTCTATGGGATTAAGGTCTGGAGACTGGCTAGGCCACTCCAGGACCTTAATGTGCTTCTTCTTGAGCCACTCCTTTGCTGCCTTAGCCGTGTGTTTTGGGTCATTGTCATGTTGGAATACCCATCCACGACCCATTTTCAATGCCCTGGCTGAGGGAAGGAGGTTCTCACCCAAGATTTGACGGTGCATGGCCCCGTCCATCGTCCCTTTGATGCGGTGAAGTTGTCCTGTCCCCTTAGCAGAAAAACACCCTCAAAACATAATGTTTCCACCTCCATGTTTGACGGTGGGGATGGTGTTCTTGGGGTCATAGGCAGCATTCCTCCTCCTCCAAACACGGCGAGTTGAGTTGATGCCAAAGAGCTCCATTTTGGTCTCATCTGACCACAACACTTTCACCCAGTTGTCCTCTGAATCATTTAGATGTTCATTGGCAAACTTTAGACGGGCATGTATATGTGCTTTCTTGAGCAGGGGCACCTTGCGGGCGCTGCAGGATTGCAGTCCTTCACGGCGTAGTGTGTTACCAATTGTTTTCTTGGTGATTATGGTCCCAGCTGCCTTGAGATCATTGACAAGATCATCCCGTGTAGATTTGGGCTGATTCCTCACCGTTCTCATGATCATTGCAACTCCTCGAGGTGAGATCTTGCATGGAGCCCCAGGCCGAGGGAGATTGACAGTTATTTTGTGTTTCTTCCATTTGCGAATAATCGCACCAACTGTTGTCACCTTCTCACCAAGCTGCTTGGCAATGGTCTTGTAGCCCATGCCAGCCTTGTGTAGGTCTACAATCTTGTCCCTGACATCCTTGCAGAGCTCTATGGTCTTGGCCGTGGTGAAGAGTTTGGAATCTGATTGATTGATTGCTTCTGTGGACAGGTGTCTTTTATACAGGTAACAAGCTGAGATTAGGAGCACTCCCTTTAAGAGTGTGCTCCTAATCTCAGCTCGTTACCTCTATAAAAGACACCTGGGAGCCAGAAATCTTTCTGATTGAGAGGGGGTGAAATACTTATTTCCCTCATTAAAATGCAAATCAATTTATAATATTTTTGACATGCGTTTTTTTCTGGATTTATTGTTGTTATTCTGCCTCTCACTGTTCAAATAAACCTACCATTAAAATGATAGACTGATCATTTCTTTGTCAGTGGGCAAACGTACAAAATCAGCAGGGGATCAAATACTTTTTTCCCCTCACTGTATAAAGTAATGTGCATTCTATTCCTGCGCGTTTGTCAGTGATTTCTGCTGAGTTAGTCGACAAGCCGCACGCACGCACACACACAAGTACGCACATAAGTACGCGTGTCCCTCCAGCTGAATCACACCCAGGCTAATCGTCAGCACTTATGTCCATTTATCAATGATTTTCACCTTTCCATGACACAACAACATGTGAGCTACACGCAAGGAAGGTTTTCCGTGAAGGTTAAGAGCCGCACATTATTAATAGTAAACGTGATATACAGCGCGCGCACGTGTTGCGTATTGGACGCGATGTACCACTGACGACTCGCAGGCGTGGAGTCAGACATCAATGTCGCTCGCACACCGCCCTGAACAGGCGTGAGCCTCAACGGTTGCGAGCCTTGAGTTGCTTCTTGAAGGTGGACAGTGCTTGGATGCTGTACACACGCGCTGTTCAGAGTGATACCGATGTATTGTTGATGCACCGTAACACGTGCAGGTCTATGTACGAATTATTCGACTTTCATTGATCTCGCTCAACGTGTTAAATATCTACACATTCTACACTTGCCACATGGGGAATTGTGGCCTCTGTAGACTTTTTAAATTCAACGTCACCTCGATCCTATGCTCAGCTAAACTAATGGTCGAGTAAAAACATATTTTTACGTTTTATTATTTTCATTTAATAAAATGTGAAACTTTTAATTCACCCAAGTTCAGCAGTCTTTGAAGACGGAAGTGTGAGATTGTGATTGATGGGGGTCCGGGCTCTTATTGTTTATGTGGCCTATATTTTTGTAAATTCCTTCCCTGGACCGGTTTGCCACCTCCTGTGCACGACGATGGCACGGTTATTCACCTCTCGGTTACTTCACTTCTCGTTTTTGAATGCAATCTATAGGAGTGTAACCGGTAGGAACACACACACACAGCGATGCTGTTGATTTAATTGCCACATTATCTCTAGGATTGGCCACAGAGCTTCAGAAAAACTCAACACATGTGTCAATAACACTGTGTGGCTTTAAAATAAATAAAGTATATAATAGGTGACATTTCAGGTAATAGCCCACACCTCGTAATAGCACATCAGCTTATAGGCCAGAGAGACAGAGCGGAGTTGGAGACTGCACAAAACACCAAGGGACCTGATGAGAATTACGTAAAAAACACATTTGAGATGGCCAGTTTTTAAATTATCATGTGAAGAGTTAAACTTATAGTAGATTTGGGTAACAGACAAACCTTTTAATAATGAAAAAGTAAATAAACGTATATCTAAAGTAAAATTATAAAATGTTTCCGGCACTTTGGCGCAATCTGCACAACAGCGAATTGCTGTGCTACACTTTTAACAATTGTAAAGCACGATACAAATACTGTATAGCACGATACAAATACTGTATAGCACGATACAAATACTGTATAGCACGATACAAATATTGTCTGTATATATTGGAGGCGACTTGGTGAAGCCACTAAAGCCCCTGCGTTAATATGGCCCCGTGCTCGGCTTCAATGCAACAGAGGATTTCAGCTTTGAAGCCAGAGAGAGAAAACAATGCTTCGGATTATCCTGTCCTCAACAGTCACGGAGACTTTGTTATTTGTGTTCTGACTCGGCGTAACCTCACAGCGTTTTGTCCAATCCTCCCTTGTGCTTAGAACTGCTCCGCGAGTCTGCGCAGGGTGGTGGGCAGGAAGCCACTCCTGCAACGTGTGTTTGATTTCAACGTCCCGGTCCTGCTGCGCAAGGGACACTTCAGCCCAGAGGAGTTTGATCGCCTTTCAAAGTACCGCACTCCGTACGGCTGGAAGGGAATGAACATGAGTGGTACGTTAGTTCGTTCGTTCATTCTATTCAATTAACGTATGTTCTTTGTCCATCTGGCAGGGTAAATTGATCCTTCCAGGTGGCAGGGCGGCGGCGACGCAGTGGTAACACTCGGGCCTCTCACAGCAAGAAGGGCATGGTTTCAATTCCCCACTCGGGTGCTTTCCATGTGGGAGTTTGGATGTTCTCCCCCTTGTTCCGCACCGGTTTCCTCTGGGTTCTCTAGCCATGTAATCATTCGCTTCGCACCTGCCCGTGTGCTGGTATAATCACTCCATCTCGGAGGTAGACATCCTCGGATGAGTTCTGTTCCGTGGCTGCCACTCCATTATTATTCTCGGGAATCTGTCATAATTCCTCGTTGCCGTGACGCGTCCTGCCCACTCACATTTCTTAACACTATGAATGATGCCATTAACCTGCGTGCGCTCTCTAATCCATGTAACTCTGTCTCTCAACTTAATTCCAAGTATGCATCTCTCCGTGCTTCTGTGTGCACTTTCTAATTTTTGGTCCATTTCGTTTTGATAACCACCACGATTCTGAACCAGATGTCATAGCTACACTTCTGCACGTGACAATACTCTCATGGTAATTATAAGCTGGGTAGGTGTGTCATTGAAGCTAGCTAATCTTGTATAAAAGTGACGGCTTCTGGTTTTCGTATTTTTTTGTTTTGCTTTTGGGTGAAATGTGCAGATGTTGAAGACGCTGTGGACATGCTGAGCCACCCGGAGTGCCGGGAGATGTTTACCCACCGCCTGCAGGATGGTGGCGGCGGCGGCGGCGGAGGACGCGACGCCGAGAAGTGCGTTCGCTGCGCCGTTGTCGGGAACGGAGGGATCCTCAACGGGTCCATGATGGGAGAGGAAATCGATTCCCACGACTACGTGTTCAGGCAAGGCCCCCTGCAGATCCATTGCATTGCCCGAGGTTGAACCTCTAATCGCCGTGCTTTCAGTTCTACATCGAACACATTTCGAGCCCTTTTTTGTCGTCAGTGAGCGGTGGCACGAGTGTGGTCAGCGCACTGCATTATGGCAATGGACCCAGTCACATGAGTTTGATTCCCAGACACGGCTAATATCGCTGTGTGGCGAGTGATATCTGAACCGGTCCAGGGAATACCGCGCCCCCACCCCCCCTATCGCCTTCCCGCACTGACCAGCGAGGTGAAATATCGTCCGGGTGGCTCAGTGGCAGAGCGAGCGGCTCGCAATGGGGAGGTTGCAAGTTAAAAATGCTGATTGGGGTTGACTCAGGCCATCATCCCTCCAGGGTGGATAAGATCCGTGCCACTTTGTGGGCAAGTCAACAGAGGTTGTCTTGTCAAGTTATCCCCCCACGCCACCCATTATATGAATGTCAACTTGCACGACTGGCTTAGCATGGCTGTAAGCAGGGGATGAGCACCAATGCCTCAATGCTTATTTGGGGTGGGAGTCAAACTCTGCCTCTTGTCTCTGTCACAATAAATGGTTTTCAGCAATATTTCAGTGGCTTGCAAGATGAGGTGCGGTTACTCTCCACGCTGCACCTGCCTCGTACTTTCCTGGAAGCCAGATTCATGGGATCGCTTGGGCAGGCGTCGGTCAACTTCAAGGATTCGGAGAAGGGAGGTGCGTAAATGCCAAGTCTGGAGGCTAAATATTTGAAGGCTTGTACAACTGAGTTTTTTTTTTACTGGCGTGTCAGCACATTGCTGACCGTGTTAGTTACACAAGTATGCAATCTGAAGTTCATGCACACATTCGAGCTGTTTTTGCCCACAGCGCTTTTATCGAAGTCACCCGAGTTCGAATAATGGCTGAGGCCAGCACCAATTGCAGGTGGTATCTGAACCAGGCCTGTGGTGGAGAGGAGTCGACGGAGTGAACTGAGAAGGGAGAGATCGGGAGGTGTGAATCCGCGGAGGATATTATAGAGACGGAGAGTGCAATCTTGAAATTGATCCGGATTGGATTGGGTGCCGACGAATGGATTGGAGCAGCGTGTGGGGTGGTGGCGTTGTTCATGGCCGTGGGCGAGAAGTCCCGTAGCGGCGTTTCGGACAACGTGGAGTTTCAGGGATCCGTCGCGGCCGTAGAGGGGACAGCGTCGCAGTCGGGGAGCCGTGCCAAGAAGGCACCGACGAGGCTCTCAGCGGCAGTTGGGGTCAGGAAAGGTCAGGGAAGGTCAGGGGAGGTCAGGGAAGGTTGGACACGGGAGACATTGCGCAGATGGAGGTCAGTGTTGCTGCAGAGCTGAAGTAAAAATAATTAAATAACGTGCTCCTCTGCCTGTGCTCTAGCGGGCGGCGTTCACTAGAACATGGCAACAACATTCTAATCACAGCCTCGAAAACACGATCTAGGTCTTCAGTGCAGCGCCAGTTAACGACACGTACTTTGAATCGCAACTGCTCGCAATGGCGAAGAGCAACCTGATCACTGTACGGAGTCTTCGGAGCCGTTCCCTGTCCCTCCCCAAGGAAGGGGGTGGTGGGGGGGGGGGTCAGGTGGTTCATGTGTAATTTGTTGAATCAGGTGAAGCACTCGTGAGAGCAGAGTCGCCTCATCTGCATCTGGGTCACCGACATCACAAAAGCAATGGCGTAAAATAAAGAACTGTACACCAGTGAAGCAAATATGAAGCGGGTCAAAAGCAAGGAGATGTAAAAAACGTGCACGAATCGTAAATCGATGTTAAATTAATTTCCTGGAACAAAATTTGCCTTGGACAAATATATATATAAAAAAGTTTTTTTCTGGCTGGCTGGCTGTAGGAAGGTAGTGTGGGAGGGACAATCACATCTAAATGATGTGCAGCCTGCTCGTTATCATAAATACGGAAATACTTTACAACCCTTGGTAACTTTACTGCTGTGTGAAGGCCTCCCCATGCCAAGTCAGTCATCGGATTTGTTGACCATACTTCACCATGCGAGTCGGTGTGCGCGAGGTTGGTGAAGCGGGGCGTGCAGTACCAGTTCAGATGTCACTCCCTTTGAGTTGCCCAACTCGCAACAGCCCGGCTCGTCAGAAGTTAAGAGGAGCAGCTGAAGCGACCCGGGAGGTCTTGTGAGGTTGTCTGGTTTCCCCCCCGGTGGAGTGCATTCCAACCAAGAAGAGTTGTTGTTTTAACGATACTTAAACTCGCCTTATGTAGCTCAAGACATATATATAAACATTTCAAAATTAAAATATTGGTAGATAGAATACATACACCCAAGTAGGTTACAATATATAAGTAATGATTAGACAAATGCCTGACATCGTTGACCTTTTGTGATCTTTTCGCCACCAGGGTAAACGGGGCGATCACGGCGGGCTTCGAGCGAGATGTTGGCAATCGGACATCCTTCTACTTTTTTTCAACCAATACCATGAAAAATTCCATGAGAGCATACAGAAAGTTTGGGTTCGTGCACCCTCCCTGGTCTAAGGTGAGGTCAACCACTCTGACCTTCTGGTGAGCTGGCTCAGCGAGAGGCACACAATCAGAAGGTCACAGAATCCATGTTCATGGGTTGACTCGGCCCATAATTCCTCTGAGGTCGATCAAACTAATACTATTTTGTGAGGAAGTCAACAGTGTTTGTTCTATTGATAGATTTCCCCCCGTCATAGGAATGTGGAATTTCCACCACTGGCTCCAGGCTGTGAACAGATGAGCACCGCTTCAATGCTTATGTGAGCAGTAAGAGACCACTTTCATCATCATCATCATCACTAAACTGCAGATGACGGTGTTCATTAAAAGCCCTGACCTTTTATGATGTTTTCTAAAATGTGGTAAATGGTGCGGTAACAAACGGCTTTGACTGTGAAGTTAGCAACAGGAATGTTTACACTTCTGCTCATGAGCCTTATGAGCACTGACGACATGTCACCCACAATCATAAACTTTACCACGTCACCCAAACACTCCAATCCTGCCACTGGCTCGCAATCCAATCCAAAATCAAATAAAAAATCACACTCAATGTCCTCTAGATCCTCCACTGACTCACCTCTGCATACCTCTCATCTCATTTTCCTCTTGTCCGTACACTCTCCGTTCCAAACCAAGGCTTCTATTGAAGCCCCCGGTTAACCCTCACTCGCTGCAGGGGATACATTTGTTAACGTTGATTTATGTTTGCGCAATTTGTTTTATTTTGAATGCGGTGAAAACGCCGCCGTTTTGCACCAATTAATATTGACTTCATTGCCTTACTTTATTGTATTTATTTTTGTCATGTTGGTGGCCCAGGTGACTCTTGCAAATTAAAGTCGATCTTGGTCCCTTGAGTTCTCTCCCCGGGTTACACGAAATGAACTTGAGACTTGGTTTTGACCTTTTCAAAGGTCTTTACTACGTGCATGATCTAAAGGTTATTTCACCGTCAAAGATGACACCCAGGTATTTTGGATTGGACTAAAGTTTACTTATTGGCCACAGAAAGTGACGTTTGTTTGGCCATTTAGAGATATTTATTGTGTTTGTTGAGGTGGTGCGCTGCGACTGGCACCCTTGTGTCCGTGTGAATGGGGGTACCGTTTCCTTGACGATGGGAGAGACTTCCCCATCGCCTTGGAATCAGCGGTGAGAGGATGGTGCTAATGGTAGCGCCGTTCGTGGTTGTTCATACGGTGATCAGGGACGAGTTAAGCGACCCATCACCCTTGAACTCCATCCTCTGTGCCTGGCACAAGAGCGGGTAGCGACCACTCGTGAAAGCCAGATTTAACGTGAGCCTACGTTTGTCACCCGTGAGGGTGACGCGAAACGTCGGACGTTGTGTGGCACAACCGGAAGAGTGAAAAACGTTCCGTCCTACTTTGCGTTTCAGGAAACACGATATGTGTTCGTTTCAGGAAACACGATATGTGTTCGTTTCAGGAAACACGATACGTGTTCGTTTCAGGAAACACGATATGTGTTCGTTTCAGGAAACACGATATGTGTTCGTTTCAGGAAACACGATACGTGTTCGTTTCAGGAAACACGATACGTGTTCGTTTCAGGAAACACGATACGTGTTCGTTTCAGGAAACACGATATGTGTTCGTTTCAGGAAACACGATATGTGTTCGTTTCAGGAAACACGATATGTGTTCGTTTCAGGAAACACGATATGTGTTCGTTTCAGGAAACACGATATGTGTTCGTTTCAGGAAACACGATATGTGTTCGTTTCAGGAAACACGATATGTGTTCGTTTCAGGAAACACGATATGTGTTCGTTTCAGGAAACACGATATGTGTTCGTTTCAGGAAACACGAAATGTGTTCGTTTCAGGAAACACGATATGTGTTCGTTTCAGGAAACACGATATGTGTTCGTTTCAGGAAACACGAAATGTGTTCGTTTCAGGAAACACGATATGTGTTTGTTCTACTTTGCGTTTCAGGAAACACGATATGTGTTCGTTTCAGGAAACACGATATGTGTTCGTTCTACTTTGCGTTTCAGGAAACACGATATGTGTTCGTTCCTTGCGGCCATCAGGACTACTACATGGTGACCGCTGCCTTCCGACGTGCCCTGGTCAACAAAGGGCCGGATAAAAAGGATAAGTACGTGAGTGGTGAGTGAGTGGTGATTGGTGAGTGAGTGGTGAGTGAGTGGTGAGTGGTGAGTGAGTGGTGAGTGAGTGAGTGGTGAGTGAGTGATGAGTGGTGAGTGAGTGGTGAGTGAGTGAGTGGTGAGTGAGTGAGTGGTGAGTGAGTGGTGAGTGAGTGAGTGAGTGGTGAGTGAGTGGTGAGTGAGTGAGTGGTGAGTGAGTGCTGAGTGAGGGAGTGGTTAGTGAGTGGTGAGTGAGTGAGTGGTGAGTGAGTGAGTGGTGAGTAAGGGGTGAGTGAGTGGTGAGTGAGTGATTGGTCAGTGAGTGGTGAGTGAGTGAGTGAGTGGTGAGTGAGTGAGTGGTGAGTGAGTGGTGAGTGAGTGAGTGGTGAGTGAGTGAGTGGTGAGTGAGTGAGTGAGTGGTGAGTGGTGATTGAGTGAGTGGTGAGTGAGTGAGTGGTGAGTGAGTGCTGAGTGAGGGAGTGGTTAGTGAGTGGTGAGTGAGTGAGTGGTGAGTGAGTGAGTGGTGAGTGAGTGAGTGGTGAGTGAGTGGTGAGTGAGTGGTGATTGGTGAGTGAGTGGTGAGTGAGTGGTGAGTGAGTGAGTGGTGAGTGAGTGGTGAGTGAGTGCTGAGTGAGGGAGTGGTTAGTGAGTGGTGAGTGAGTGAGTGGTGAGTGAGTGAGTGGTGAGTAAGGGGTGAGTGAGTGGTGAGTGAGTGACTGGTCAGTGAGTGGTGAGTGAGTGAGTGGTGAGTGGTGAGTGAGTGAGTGGTGAGTGAGTGGTGAGTGAGTGGTGAGTGGTGATTGAGTGAGTGGTGAGTGAGTGAGTGAGTGGTGAGTGAGTGCTGAGTGAGGGAGTGGTTAGTGAGTGGTGAGTGAGTGAGTGGTGAGTGAGTGAGTGGTGAGTGAGTGGTGAGTGAGTAAGTGGTGAGTGAGTGAGTGGTCAGTGAGTGGTGAGTGAGTGAGTGGTGAGTGAGTGAGTGAGTGGTGAGTGAGTGAGTGAGTGGTGAGTGAGTGGTGAGTGAGTGAGTGAGTGGTGAGTGAGTGGTGAGTGAGTGGTGTGTCAGTGGTGATTGGTGAGTGAGTGGTGAGAGAGTGGTGAGTGAGTGAGTGAGTGGTGAGTGAGTGGTGAGTAAGTGGTGAGTGAGTGGTGAGTGAGTGACTGGTCAGTGAGTGGTGAGTGAGTGAGTGGTGAGTGGTGAGTGAGTGAGTGGTGAGTGAGTGGTGAGTGAGTGAGTGGTGAGTGAGTGGTGAGTGAGTGAGTGGTGAGTGGTGATTGAGTGAGTGGTGAGTGAGTGAGTGGTGAGCGAGTGGTGAGTGAGTGGTGAGTGAGTGGTGAGGGAGTGAGTGGTGAGTGAGTGGTGAGTGGTGATTGAGTGAGCGAGTGGTGAGTGAGTGAGTGTTGACTGAGTGCTGAGTGAGTGAGTGGTGAGTGAGTGGTGAGTGAGTTAGTGGTGAGTGAGTGGTGAGTGAGTGGTGAGTGAGTAGTGAGTGAGTGGTGAGTGAGTGAGTTAGTGGTGAGTGAGTGAGTGAGTGGTGAGTGAGTAGTGAGTGAGTGGTGAGTGAGTGGTGAGTGAGTGAGTGGTGAGCGAGTGGTGAGTGAGTGGTGAGTGAGTGAGTGTTGACTGAGTGCTGAGTGAGTGAGTGATGAGTGAGTGAGTGTTGACTGAGTGCTGAGTGGTGAGTGAGTGAGTGGTGAGTGAGTGAGTGGTGACTGAGTGCTGAGTGGTGAGTGAGTGAGTGGTGGGTGAGTGGTGAGCGAGTGGTGAGTGAGTGTTGACTGAGTGCTGAGTGAGTGAGTGTTGACTGAGTGCTGAGTGGTGAGTGAGTGCTAACGCGTTCGCAAATACTCGCGTCAGCCCAGTGTTTGTCCATCATTTGATGGCGTTCTAAAAGTGTCAATAAAACACGTTGTTTTTCAGACCCTGGAAATACTTTGGAAGTGACGATGTCGACAGGAAATTCAAAATGCTGCATCCGGATTTCTTGCGATACCTGAAAAATAAGTAGGTGTTTATTTATTTTGCGATTGCAGTCACAGTAAAACATAGCACATAGGATTATTGGCCGAAACGTCACCGATTTTATTTATATACATACGTATTTTTTTCAGGCCGTTTTGTTGACGAATGTTTTGTTGTTGTTAATTGTCTGCGTACACCACTGCCAACTCGGCAGCAGCACCGTCAAATAATTTGTTTAATCAAAATCGTGTTTTCTTAAGTATCTTTATTTAAGTTAGCAGAACTCCTCTTATCCATAGCAATGTGGGGGGGGGGGGGGGGGGGGGGATTTTAGTGTATCCTATTATCTGTGTGGCTATCAGTGAAACATTTGTGGTGCGCAGCGGGTTTGTGGATAACCGAATAATCTGGGTGGTTTCCCTCATCCACAAACAACTGGGCGGGTAAACGGGCGCTGTTCTTCAGTTGCTGGGCAAATTGGCAGGTGATGGATGATAGCATGACAGGTGATGGTGGATGATAGCATGGCAGGTGATGGTGGATGATAGCATGGCAGGTGATGGTGGATGATAGCATGACAGGTGATGGTGGATGATAGCATGACAGGTGATGGTGGATGATAGCATGACAGGTGATGGTGGATGATAGCATGGCAGGTGATTGTGGATGATAGCGTGACAGGTGATGGTGGATGATAGCATGACAGGTGATGGTGGATGATAGCTTGGCAGGTGATTGTGGGTGATAGCGTGACAGGTGATGGTGGATGATAGCATGACAGGTGATGGTGGATGATAGCATGACAGGTGATGGTGGATGATAGCATGGCAGGTGATTGTGGATGATAGCGTGACAGGTGATGGTGGATGATAGCATGACAGGTGATGGTGGATGATAGCATGACAGGTGACGGTGGATGATCGCATGGCAGGTGATGGTGGATGATAGCATGACAGGTGATGGTGGATGATAGCATGGCAGGTGATGGTGGATGATAGCATGACAGGTGATGGTGGATGATAGCATGACAGGTGATGGTGGATGATAGCATGGCAGGTGATGGTGGATGATAGCATGACAGGTGATGGCGGATGATAGCGTGACAGGTGATGGCGGATGATAGCATGGCAGGTGATGGCGGATGATAGCATGGCAGGTGATGGTGGATGATAGCATGACAGGTGATGTGGATGATAGCATGACAGGTGATGGTGGATGATAGCATGACAGGTGATGGTGGATGATAGCATGGCAGGTGATGGTGGATGATAGCATGACAGGTGATGGTGGATGATAGCATGACAGGTGATGGTGGATGATAGCATGGCAGGTGATGTGGATGATAGCATGACAGGTGATGGTGGATGATAGCATGACAGGTGATGGCGGATGATAGCGTGACAGGTGATGGCGGATGATAGCATGGCAGGTGATGGTGGATGATAGCATGGCAGGTGATGGTGGATGATAGCATGACAGGTGATGGTGGATGATAGCATGACAGGTGATGGTGGATGATAGCATGACAGGTGATGGTGGATGATAGCATGGCAGGTGATTGTGGATGATAGCGTGACAGGTGATGGTGGATGATAGCATGACAGGTGATGGTGGATGATAGCATGGCAAGTGATTGTGGATGATAGCGTGACAGGTGATGGTGGATGATAGCATGACAGGTGATGGTGGATGATAGCATGGCAGGTGATTGTGGATGATAGCGTGACAGGTGATGGTGGATGATAGCATGACAGGTGATGGTGGATGATAGCATGACAGGTGACGGTGGATGATAGCATGACAGGTGATGGTGGATGATAGTATGACAGGTGATGGTGGATGATAGCATGGCAGGTGATGGTGGATGGTAGCATGACAGGTGATGGTGGATGATAGCATGACAGGTGATGGTGGATGATAGCATGGCAGGTGATGGTGGATGATAGCATGACAGGTGATGGTGGATGATAGCATGACAGGTGATGGTGGATGATAGCATGGCAGGTGATGGTGGATGATAGCATGACAGGTGATGGCGGATGATAGCGTGACAGGTGATGGTGGATAATAGCGTGACAGGTGATGGTGGATGATAGCATGACAGGTGATTGTGGATGATAGCGTGACAGGTGATGGTGGATGATAGCGTGACAGGTGATGGTGGATGATAGCGTGACAGGTGATGGTGGATAATAGCGTGACAAGTGATGGTGGATGATAGCATGGCAGGTGATGGTGGATGATAGCGTGACAGGTGATGGTGGATGATAGTGTGACAGGTGATGGTGGATGATAGCATGGCAGGTGATGGTGGATGATAGCATGGCAGGTGATGGTGGATGATAGCGTGACAGGTGATGGTGGATGATAGCGTGACAGGTGATGGTGGATGATAGCGTGACAGGTGATGGTGGATGATAGCGTGACAGGTGATGGTGGATGATAGCGTGACAGGTGATGGTGGATGATAGCGTGACAGGTGATGGTGGATGATAGCATGGCAGGTGATGGTGGATGATAGCATGGCAGGTGATGGTGGATGATAGCGTGACAGGTGATTGTGGATGATAGCGTGACAGGTGATGGTGGATGATAGCGTGACAGGTGATGGTGGATGATAGCGTGACAGGTGATGGTGGATAATAGCGTGACAGGTGATGGTGGATGATAGCATGGCAGGTGATGGTGGATGATAGCGTGACAGGTGATGGTGGATGATAGTGTGACAGGTGATGGTGGATGATAGCATGGCAGGTGATGGTGGATGATAGCATGGCAGGTGATGGTGGATGATAGCGTGACAGGTGATGGTGGATGATAGCGTGACAGGTGATGGTGGATGATAGCGTGACAGGTGATGGTGGATGATAGCGTGACAGGTGATGGTGGATGATAGCGTGACAGGTGATGGTGGATGATAGCGTGACAGGTGATGGTGGATGATAGCATGGCAGGTGATGGTGGATGATAGCATGGCAGGTGATGGTGGATGATAGCGTTACAGGTGATGGTGGATGATAGCGTGACAGGTGATGGTGGATGATAGCATGGCAGGTGATGGTGGATGATAGGGTGACAGGTGATGGTGGATGATAGCATGGCAGGTGATGGTGGATGATAGCGTGACAGGTGATGGTGGATGATAGCATGGCAGGTGATGGTGGATGATACCATGACAGGTGATGGTGGATGATACCATGACAGGTGATGGTGGATGATAGCATGACAGGTGATGGTGGATGATACCATGACAGGTGATGGTGGATGATAGCGTGACAGGTGATGGTGGATGATAGCGTGACAGGTGATGGTGGATGATAGCGTGACGAGAGCCCAAGAAAACTGGGAGCCAGTCGTGGACTCCGCTGCTGCTGCCCATAATAAGAATTGCGGGTAGCTGTAACAATAAATGTTTTGACATAGTGTACCTTGTAAAAGGCAATTTTAAACACATTCATGTTAGTTTAATACGTTGGCTTTCGCGACCAATATCATCCATTATCATCCATTCATGTTATTAAATAATATTTACATTTTGCATATTGACTGAATGTTTTTATAACATTGTATTAAATCTTGACTTAAAGCTTTCGTGACTGCAGGAATTCATACTCTCAGTGTCTTTCGGTAAAGTCACGTAGATTGTATTATTACAAAACCTAAAATGTTTTTTGCAATCTTTTTAGCACAAACTACGTAATGTCTCCATTTTTTTTATTTCAGTTTTTTGCCTTCGACGCGTCTTCAATCAAAGTTTAAAGACATCTATAGGCCAAGCACAGGCGGCATAGCCCTGCTCACAGCTCTGCACACCTGTGACCAGGTAATGTGCCTCTTGTCCCTGACACCTCGCATGCAGACGAATGATCACTGACTGCAGGATTACAGTTCCTCTTCGTGTTGCTCCAGGCCCGTATATTGTGAATGAGCACCAAGCTCTGAAAATATCATATAATTGGATGTGGCCCAATTAGTCGATTGAGTTGATTAATTAGTTAAAAGTTGGAAGCAATTTCTTATTTTTGTTAACAATTATTTGCGTCCCTTTAAATACGGTGACAGCTTGAAATATTGCCAACCTTCTGCCAGGAAACTCCCTCCGAGCCGTGCTCGGCGTGACACGGCTCACCTGCCAGTGATGTCACCAAGCCCCGCTCACCACCTCCCATCCGGCGGCACACCTGGGAACAGAGGCCACACTTTTTCCCCAACTATTTTTGTATCCATGATGGGCCGAGTAATAAAGCCGATAATCGGTAATTGAGTGGTTAAACAATCAGCTGTAAAATATAATAATGCCACAACTACCCACGAAAGCTTAGCTGAGGCTCAAGATTATTTTCAGAAAGCCTCTGCTAAATTGGAATATTTTGACAATCCCGGAGACAAACCAAGCATACGAGGGGGATGACACTCGGCAATTCCATCTCTTAGCCACCTCGCCCTCACACAGACAACACCTGACATTTCTTGTGGGTTACCCGTCGTAAGGACTAGCCTTGCTTAGCTTCTGAGATCCGATGAAATAGGGTGCATTTAATGTCATGTGTTCCTAGTTAAAGGTATATAATATTGTATTATTATTGCAAATGTATCCTCTAAGGATGTGCTTATAGGATATGGAGATGGATAAACAGAATATTAGTAACAAATAAATAAGCAGACACGGCGCCTCCTCCCCATACTTGTCTCTCCACATTAAACATAAAAAATATATATTTTACACAACCAATCAGCCATGCAGCATTCTCAAAGTATTTTTTCCATTAGCATTGGTTTCATACACAAACTCTGGATCAGCTTTGACATTCATTGTCTCATCAGCAAGAGTCAGGCTCGCTTGAAGCAATGCTGCTGATCAGCCAGGTATTTACAGGCAAGGACCCTCTTTGTTAGATACGGGTCCTGCTTCGCCACGAGACTATATAATACACGATTGATTTGTGTTATAGTTTGGATGTGCCATTTCATTTCCTTTTTCTCATCCCGATGGGCAGGTTTCCGCCTATGGGTTCATAACCAGCACCTACAAGCACTTCCCCGACCATTACTATGACCAAAAGCAGAAGCTCGTTTTCTATGCCAACCATGACCTAAACTTTGAGAGGATACTTTGGAAGATGCTCCGGAAATCACAAGTCATGACCCTTTTTCAAGGAAAACCTCCAAAGAAGTTCTAGTAGATTTTTTAAGTCGTAGTTTTATGGTGTAATGGCTATATCGAATTCATATTTTTATTGTCGCAGTCCAATAAATGTCGTGGCAAAACGGTCGCGATATTGGAGTGACCTTCCTGCTTGAATTTTGCTGGGCCTTGCTGCTAGGCCTGTGCCTGTTTGGTATGAAATGTACTGTGGGTTATTCGAAACACCACCTCATCAGATCGCGTGGTCAGTTTATACTCAGGTGACAGGCAAAGGGCAGTCGTTTCATTCACATGTATGATAAGGACTTCGGAGTTGATGATGCGACAAATGTCAATAGGATTATAGAATTATTGAATGTTGTGATTATTTTACATGTACCGGGCCCATTAGCTTTGCTGTAGTTTGCTTTGCAAATGTGACTAATCGTGGTGGTCTCTTGAGGTATCGCCTCGTTAAATAAAAACTCTTTGCAACTGGACTCTCACACACACACAGCCAAACCATATTACCACAGACACACGTCCCGTGTACAGACAGGGCTGCTGTTCAGGCATGTGTTGTGGCGAGCATATTAAGAATTGAATGCCCAGCAACCTCGGTGCAAATGCTTATTTGCACATTTTAAAGATTTTACGATGGTGCAAAATAATAGCACAGGGGAAGTTTGAATTCCCTTGTGATCTTGCTGGGACTCCGGAGATGCTTCTAGCGTGGCACCTCGACGCAGCTTCGACGCCAATCGCTGCCCCGTGCATTCCTCTATCTCAAATACATATATATTAAGTTCGTTTTTACTCTTGGACATGTTTAACAGATATACAGTGCAGTTCTGTGTTTAAAAAAAAATCCGAGTGTAATGATTTCATTTTTATTGACAAATTTGCTGACAAATTGTTGGCACATATTTAATATACATATTAAAACAATATTCGCATTAATATACATTTCTTAACTAACACGATTGTGTTTGTTTTCGCTTCAGCAATGTCACATTTTTAGGAATAATTCATGCTTGAATGTTCTCATAACAAATCTTTGACGACATGTTTTGATCTAGGAGAGAATAAAAGCAGATTTTGATACCAATTGCCTTGTGATGTTCTCCATGGCCAGCAATACAAACTCATGTTCCTGGTTGGGCAGATCAGCAGTGAATCAATGCACACAGATGCACACACACACAAATGACAAAGATCCCCCATATAGACTTAACAGACTGTAGGGGCAAGTGCTGTTAGCGAGCACCTATGAAGGCCGGAACGGTACACGAGGGGGTGGGTGGCCAGCACCACGCCCGACCGCCTTTGTCTCCCTAGTGGCAATGTTTACACACCGCACCAGGTACTCATTTGAGGCTGAGTCGACTTAGGAGAGGCCCGGGACCGGTTCAGATAATCGTCACTGGTATTGGCCGTGAGCGGCAATCGAACCCGGGTCGCCAAGTTCATAGCGCAGCGCGCTAACCGCTACACTATCGCTCTCCACAGACACACACAGACACACACACTGGTGCACACACACACATAGACACACACACTGGTGCACACACACACACATAGACACACACACTGATGCACACAGACACACACACACAGACACACACACTGATGCACACACACAGACACACTGATGCACACACACACAGACACAGCAACAACCGCCATTCGCCACTAAGTGGCAGTGACGTCACCACGACGTTTGTGCCAGGATATGTGCACCTTGAGGCCACGTGAAGTGTCGAACGCCCGCTGGCAGGAGGTCACGGGGCAGACCCAGGTGCCACAGGTCGACTGACTGAGATGACTGCCTGGTGCACCACCTGGGCCCCCTACTGTGCCAACCTGCTGTGCTTTAGCCACCCGGCGCTCCGCTGGTTGTTGTGAGCGTCGCTCCTCCGCCCTCCGTTGTTGTTGGAGGGCGACTGCCTCCAACTGCCCAATAGCGTCCTTCACGAGCCTCCTCCACAGAGGCCGATCTTGACACCACTGGTACCAGTCATCGGCAAGTCTACTCAGCTCCACGTCCTTCTGTACCACATCACTCCATCTCTTCTCTGGCCCGTGCCACGCCCGTTTAGCCCCCTCGATCCGGCCGAACAAAAGCTGTTTCGGTATACGGTGGCTGGGCATGCGGGCTACATGACCCAGCCAACGCAGCCTTGCCTGCCGGAGGAGCTCACCGATGGGACCTTGCCCAGATCTTTCAAGGATTTGTGAGGTCCTCACACATTAGGGGGGTCCACGTTTCACAAGCGTAGAGAAGGGAGGGAATGACCGTGGCCGAGAAGACCTGAAGCTTAGTGCGGAGCGACAGACCAGGTAGCTTCCACACAGTATTACGCAACCGATGAAAAGATATTGCCGCTCGACTGATTCGGAGTGAGACCTCTGCTGTTAAACTGGAGCCGGTCATAAGCACACTGCCCAGGTATGGGAAACTCTCCACTCTCTCCACAACTGCCCCATCACCGATTGGGAGTTGTGGGGGTGGAGTGTCCGATGGTACAAAATACCCAGGCAGGTGTTTAGTTTTGGTGGGGCTGATGGTAAGGCCCCATCTCTTAGTGGCACGCTCCAGTCTCAGCAGCAGCGTCTCCAACTCCTCCTCTGAATGAGCAGCTATTACCAAATCATCAGCATACATAACGTGGTTGAGCAATAGGGAGCCATCCCTTGACCGCACCCGTGCATTGATCAGCCTCCCATGATATCTGTACCAAATGGAGATTCCACCGGTACAGCTATTGAAGGCTTCACGAACTACGTGGTCAAAATACATATTAAATAATGTGGGAGCCAGAGGACATCCCTGTCGCACCCCAAGGTGTACAGGGAATGGCTCTGACTCCCGGCCACGTAGATTTACCCGGGCCCGCTCACCATCATGAAGGCCCTTAATGATCGTGAGCAGAGGGTCAGGGACTCCAAAAGCATGAAGAACAACCCAGAGCCCAGGCCTACTGATGGTATCATAGGCCTTGACCAGCTCAATAAAGCAGAGATGTAGGTCTTGTTGGATTTCCCTACACCTCTACTGTAGCAGACGGACAGAAAATATGGCATCTGTGCAGGACCGCCCTTTCCTGAAACCGCATTGGGGCTCTGCAAGCCTCTCCTCAGCGTGCCTGGCAAGGCGATGTTGAATAATCTTTGCCAGGACCTTTCCCGGCACACTGAGGAGTGAGATGCCCCTGTAGTTGTTACAGTCTGTGCGGTCCCCCTTCTTAAAGAGGGGGACCACCAGGGCATCCTTCCAATCCTGCGGAACCCGTCCAGTGGTCCAGATTGTTGTTATGATGTCATATAGGGCAATCTGTGCACAAACGCTACCCTCCCTCAGCAATTCGCTTGGGAGATCATCTCTACCCGGTGCCTTTCCTGGTCTCAGACTCCGGATCGCCTTCAGTACTTCCTCAACAGATGGCACCTCAGCCAGCCACTCACAGGGGGTAACTTCTCCTTCCAATATTTGAGGCACTGCAGCCTCAGCAGGGTCATCCCCACTTTGTGCCACGATGTTTTCCTGGCTGAGAGATTTCCCCTCCCCCAGGACCTCGCAGAAATGCTCAGCAAATCTGCAAACCTGTTCGTGGGGGTCGGAGATTGGATCACCGTTTTTTCCCCTAATGATGGTAATAGATGTGGCGCTGCAGGTTACTTTTTTGATGGAGTTAAATAGAGATTAGTGATCACGGGCCACTGAGGCAGACTCCATCTCCTCAGCAACCCGCGACCACCACCCATCCTTGCAGCGCCTCACGGCTCTCCGAACCTCCGAGCGAAGGCTGCGCTAAGCCTCCTCATTCTCTAACGTGGGATTCTGTAGCCGATGACAGTGGGCCTGTCGCTTTTTCTCAACCATTCTGTACACCTCCTCTGTTCGCGAGGACCTCTGGGGAGGTCCTGACCGCGTACCCAAAGCAGACATTGCAGCCGCATGAGTTACAGTTCTAAACCTCGCCCATTTAACCTCGACATCAGGAGGAGTGGGGGACGATGCCAACTCCAGCCGAAAGCGATGATGAAATTCTCGCTTGCAATTTTAATCAGATAACTGAGACCAGGCCACTTTAGGTTGGAATGGAGTCCTGGGTGTACACCCACCACCGGAGTGGAAGAATGGCAGGTGCATCTTACAGGTGACTAATCGATGGTCAGAGGGCAGATCAGCTCCACGGTAGGTCCTGGTGTCAAGCACATGGGCTCGCACACACACTGATGCACACACACACACAGACACACACACTGATGCACACACACACACAGACACACACACTGATGCACACGCACAGACACACACTGATGCACACACACAGACACAACAACAACAACCGCCATTCGCCACTAAGTGGCGGTGACGTCACCACGACGCTTGTGCCAGGCCATGTGCACCTTGAGGCCACGTGTAGTGTCGAACGCCCGCTGGCAGGAGGTCACGGGGCAGACCCAGGTGCCACGGGTCGACTGACTAAGATGACTGGCTGATGCACCACCTGTGCCCCCTACTGTGCCAACCTGCTGTGCTTTAGCCACCCGGCGCTCCGCTCGTTGTTGTGAGCGTCGCTCCTCCGCCCTCCGTTGTTGTTGGAGAGATCTGGTATCGACGTTGTTGTATTGAACGTCATCACAGTATATTGGACAGTTTTGAAAGAACACGGCTGACCGAGTGATATGTCCGAGAAGGAACGTTCGTGAAGAGTGACGCTCGGATTTCAATCAAAACGCGAAGTTCACGGTGCACGGCACTAGAACTGGACTTGTGAGATTCAATTTTTCCTCATGGCCCGTAGGTAAAAAAAATACAGTTAATCAAATCACGACGTTTCGGAGGCAACACAAGCTTCCGTCATCAGGTGTAACTAGCACAGCAACACGACTATAAGGAGAGCTTTACTCTTTGGTTCTATTGGGTAAAGTCACGTAGGTAAAAAAATAAAATAACAAAAATTACGACGTTTCGGCCACAACATAAGCGGCCTTCATCAGGTGAAGGGACGAGACTGTCTGGAGGACAGAGCTGGAGTGAAAAAAACGCCACGCTCAGATCACGACCTTTAAGCTGTGTGAGAAGAAACAAAGCGCCTTGACAAAGGGATTAGCATATAATTTAGCATTGAAATGGCTCATTGAAATAGCTAAGTTAAATTATACACATCCGCAGAGGCACCCCTTGACAAAGGAATTAGGAGAGCTATTTGTAACAAGAGATTATACTGGTAGGAACGAAGTTGTAAACTGAGTGTACCAGCCTGCAATAGATTAATGTGTCCGTCCGTCCCGTTTCAATAGTTTAACGAAGTGAAATCTCGTGCTGTTGGGGTGTAAAAATAAAATTGCGCAAAATTCCAATGTTCCTACCAGCCCACCCTGCAGGGACCTGTTTATATAGGGTAAGAGGAGGAGGGGGCAGGGAGGACGGACCCAGGGTGGTAAAGGTCCTGCTCGTGCACCACGGAGGGGGGGAGAGTGGGATAGGAGACAACTTTGCACGATTGAAACACCACGTGACCAAAGAGTATGGAGCATTGCAGTCACGAAAACTTCAAATCTAGAATTAATTGATGTGTACTTGATGTGTACCTCATTTGTGCTTTTTTGTTTGCACGTCCTACGATTGTTGGCAGCGTGTTGCTTATTCTTTGGTTCTTTCGGTAAAGTCACGTAGATATGAGATTATTATGAAAAAATAAGTGAATAAAAATAATACTGTAGCCTGGTTCTTAATCGGAGTGAGTGTACTGGCAGTCTATAATGTAGACTGTAGCCTGGTTATTAAGCTGGGTGAGTGTACTGGCAGTCTATAATGTAGACTGTAGCCTGGTTCTTAATCGGAGTGAGTGTACTGGCAGTCTATAATGTAGACTGTAGCCTGGTTATTAAGCTGGGTGAGTGTACTGACAGTATATAATGTAGACTGTAGCCTGGTTATTAAGCTGGGTGAGTGTACTGGCAGTCTATAATGTAGATTGTAGCCTGGTTATTAAGTATGGTGAGTGTACTGACAGTCTATAATGTAGACTGTAGTAATGGTTATTAAGCTGGGTGTGTGTACTGGCAGTCTATAATGTAGACTGTAGCCTGGTTATTAAGTATGGTGAGTGTACTGACAGTCTATAATGTAGACTGTAGCCTTGTTATTAAGTATGGTGAGTGTACTGACAGTCTATAATGTA